ATCAAAGTTAGTCCTCTACATCTGGCCTCCCCTCAAGCCCCCATAATGGTCCTCGAGAAGACCTCAAAAGCCAATTATGCATAATTACTGGACGGCCAATGGTACCCAAAGGCCTAAACTAGAAAACTTGTTTTAATAATTAACATAGAGGATTATTAGAAATTCCTAGAACCATTTAGAAATAGTTTACTAATATCTGCAAGCAAAAAAAGCACAGGGTCAGGCAGCAATTAAGAAACAGATCCTGGTCCCAGTTTGGATAACCAACTCACTCTGTGAGCAGTTATCCAACTTTTTGGCTTAAGTATTCACACTGAAGAAGATACCTACTCTATTTTTCAAGAGATGTGAAAACACTTAGAGAAATAATTACTCTTTCATTCCATTTAAACACGTTGAACATCTGTTTATGCTAAGCATTACACGAGGCATGGAATCTACAGTTAGTGGAGAGAACAGAAACTAAATCATTACAATTGCAATAAGTATGAAAGAGAACTATTAGGAGAAAGGAAAACATAAATCAAGAGACTTAGTATGAGGGCTCAAGAAAGGTTTCTCTGAGGAACAAACATCTAAACAGAGCCATAAAGAATGAGGCAAAGAAGTATAGGAAAAAGTGCTAGTCAGAGGAGCAAAGGTCATGAAAAAACATTCAAATGTAAAGTGGAATTAGGAAATATTTAACTTTTCGATAACAATTAATATGTAACATCTAAATTTAACTCACACAATTTGCCATTTCTAAGCCTTGCTTAAATAGGTTCATCTATAGCTGGATTTTTTTTTTTAATTATCCAGTTTTTCCTAAAAAACAGTGAGATGCTAGCCTTATTTATGTACCATTGCTTAGATAAAGAAACAGATAAATGTCCATGTAGGAACAATGGTTTGGAACACAGATTAAAATTCTGAATAATCTTGGTTTTAGGACACATTGTTAGGTGCTACAAGTTCAAAATTTTTATAGTTCCCTAGAATATTTTCCACTTAAGCATATGTTTTTTAAAAAAAACCTCTATTCCTATCTTTAAAAAAAAAAAAAGTGCTTTGAGTTAATTATCACATTTATAATTAGAAGACTCTTATGTTGACAAAATGCATCAAATTGAAATAGCATGATTGGTTAAGTTTTTTCAAATTGTTCTACTAATTATCTGAATCCTATGGAACAGTAGTTTTGTAGGAGAATCATAGTACTCTTCCCGACCAGGATATGTTTTCAATACATTACAAGTGCTTACCACAGGCTTTTCCTTCTTATAGTAAAGTGAGGTATTAGATCATTAATTTGAAGGTTTTCACCCTGCCCCAGACACATGTAATTTCAAATCACTTAATGTCATCATATATTACTATTTTCTTGAATTATAAACCCATTAAATTGACTCAACTTGTAAATTAGCTTCATACAAATGTGTATTTAAAGTGTTATGCAAACTTCTCTATTCCTACTCTTCTGAAAATGTGCTTATCTAACTGATTTGCCATGTTTATTGTTTTACTATAGGTTATATGTAGTATATTACAAAGTATTATTTTAAACTTTACCTCTATTTTCCTTATAAAAATGGCTGCTTCAGAAGAAGTTTAGCTAAGCAATTTCAAAATAATTTTCTTGGAGCTTTTATTAGCTTATTTCAAAAGACCCACTAACACCTAAGCGTGGCCTCGTATTCCAATATGCCATAAAACATGTTTCTTACATTTTTATAACTAAACCACCACCTTTAATTGCTGAAACTCTACAATTGGTAGAAGTAACAATGTATTATCTCTGCTGTTATAGTCATGTGTTACTGATTATCCAAAAAGGGGAAGTATCAAAATGCATTTTCAAATCTCTGCAAGACAAACATTACAGGGTTTGAGGGTGCATAAAGAGACTTTATAACAAACTTTTTAATGTTTTCATATACGCTCTTTTGATTTAGAAGAATAAAGTCTCAATGAGAAAAAAGTAACTCTAGGTTATAGAAACATTAGAGTTCTTTCTAGTAACAATTTTGATTAGAAATCAATCTTATTTTTATCTAAATACTCTGAAGAAGGTATCCTGCAACATTTTGTCTTCGTAATTACTTTGGTCATATTTAATATGGCAAATTCATTAGCACATCAAAAACACAATGAACAGAGCAGAGATTTAAAATGAAATAAAACTCCATTGATTATTTTCACCTTTAAGATTCTTTTCCTAGTAAATGAATTCAAAAAGTCTTAACAAGTAAACTACTTATTTATCATGTTGCTTATATAAAATGCTTTTCACATTATCTTGGATACATGACACATATTTATTTACTTTATTAGAAGAGAAAAGTGAGACAACAAAACAAAACCTCCCCAGATATGCAGAGATTATGTCAAAGTCAGGAATAAAATGTACTGGTGTCTTATACTACTAACATAAAGTCACTTTACTGAAAAGAAAATAAAGCTTGATCAGAATATATAATTGATGCACACATATTGTGGCTCATTCAAAAGCATTTTTAAATCCTTTTTTAGATCACCTAAATGGTGATTTTTCAAGAAAAGAATAAACATTTGCATGGTTAATTGACTATTACGAAAAGTTTTCATAACAAAGCTTACAGATTACTTTTAATTAAAAGAATAAATATTTAGGATATTCATTATCTGTGTCTATTTAAATCTAGATAACATTAAATTTCTCAGGAAGAGAAAAATCTTAGTGTTCCATCAAGACATTAGTGAAGTGCAGATAACTTCAAAACATTTATATTCCTTTTGTATTCCATCCTTTCATACACCAGACCATAAAGAGAAATAGGTGGCTATTTAAAATGTCATATCTAAGTCACTTATACTTTGGTGATCACTTACCCTAACAGTTTGGATTGATTAAATTCCATAATATATTCTACATTGTACAATGATGGAAAGAGATAACCTGCCACCATTATACCAAAACATGATATTCTGTATCTTAAATGTTACCTGTATTTCCATATTTCAGTATCAATTTTGTAATATAATGTCAATCATTTTCCTTTTTAAAAAAGTTTTAGTTTAGCTGTGTAATATCCAAAAATTAAATATCTGTAAATAGTAAGTATCCATCCACAAAGGCCATTAACTAAGACTAAGAGAAAAAAACTAAAAAATAAGTGCATTTTTAAAATGTAATAGCTCTAATAAGCTTTAATTAATTAGTCAGTATCTATGAAACACTGTGTCCAGCAATGTTCTGGGTACTTTAAGAAGTATACATGCATGCATACAAGCACACACACATGCAGAAGAAAATTAATCCACATGAAACAATTGCAGAACAAAAGATTATCACTTTTGAAATGACACGATTTTTGAAATGGAGAACAGATTAGTGGTTGCCCAGGGTTAGGAACAAGAGGGAGGTGGATGTGGTTATAAAAAGGCAACATCAGGCATCTTTGTGGTGATGAAAGAATACTGTATCTTCACTATGGTGTTGATGCACACACATAGGACAAAATTACATAGCACACATGCATACACACACAAACACACAAAAGTACAAAACTGGGGAAACTTGAAAAAAATGAATGGATTTGTATCAATGTCATTATCTTGATTGTGATATCACACTACAGTTTTGAGGTACACAGATCTCATATTTTTTCATACAACTACATGTGAATCTACAATTATCTCAAAAACAGCATTTTTAAAAATGATTATAAAATACACTTTCTCTATTCTAAATACATCTCCTGTCTCCAAATAAAGCCAAAGGAGGAATAAACACCAAAATCCCTCCCAGTGACCAAAATAAAGGAAAAGAAAAAAAATACCAGCTCGGTGCAGTAATAATTCCTCTAAAAAAAATTATTATTATGTCTAAATATTCTCTTGCTGTTGATACATTCTATGTTCTTAATTTTCTTTTAATTTCACGTTAAATTAAATAAGTTTTAAAGATCATATTCTATAAATTGAAGGTTTCTCATGACGCAGTAGTGATAAAACGTTTTCTTTGAGTTTAGATGGTGGTGGAACCATCTTTAATGATGGAAGGAGGCGGAGGGAGGGAGGAAGCGAGGAGGGAGCAGAGAGAGATGGAGAGAAGGGAACACCATTATCTCTTCTTTTGATGTGAACAGCCTAGAAGCAAATCTCTCTCTCTCAATCTCTCTCAGAATCTCTCTCTCTCTCTCTCTCTCTCTCTCTCTCTCTCTCTCTCTCACACACACACACACACACACACACTCACACACACACACACACACACACTCATACTCACACTCTTCCTCTCTCTGTAGAGTCTGCATGAGTTCGGACCGAGGGGTGAAGTGAGAACACCATAAGGATTTCTCAAAGCTTTGTCTTTACCTACTTTGAATCTCTTGGAAAATCTTTAAGCATATCATTCATTGTTCCTTCACTAATACAAGATGAGAAATAATGTGCCAACTGCTCTGGAATTCCTTTGGTGTGAAGAAGTCGAAGGTGATCAAAGGCAGGGTGACATGAAACGGCACCCGGATAAAATGAGTCTGATTAGGGTAGATGCCCATTCACTTCAAATGACTTCCAGGCAATTCGTTTGGCTTTGACTTTCAACTGACACTTTTCTGGTTGCGATAAAGATGGAAGTAGGGACGTCGGGCCCCTCGCACACCAATCTGGAAGCTTCACCTTCTCGGCCTCACCCCCAGAAGCTGCGAAGGAGACTGACTGTTTCTACAGCCTACGCGGTGGTTTGGAGAAATTTAGGGATGCCGTCCTCCAGTCCCCATCCTTCTCCTCCCCAAAAGCTCAGCCCACAGCGGAGCGAGGCCGGGGGGAGAAGGTGGCAGGGGGAGGTGAGGAGAGGGTTGAGGCGGGGGACCCGGCACTCTGGGCTGGGAGAGGACAGGGGACACTGGGAGACGAGGGGCGGGGGATACGAGTGAGGGATGAGGCAGGGCTGAGGACCCGGGGCGACCAGGGGCTCCAGGAGCAGGTCGAGGCCAGGGCCCTTGGTGACACAGTGCCAGGAGTGCGGGGCTCACCCGCATTCTGCAGAGTCTCGATGTTTTGGGGTCTGGTTGCCAGCTCTGCCACCATCTGCACGAACTGGGTCCGGGCTTTCTGGTACTGCTCGAACACTGCGGGGAGAGACACGGTGGAGCGGGCCGCCCCGTCGTACCCCGCTCCCGCCGCCCGCCGTCGGGGCGCCCGCCCCGGGTCCTACCTTGCAACACCTGCCTCTGGCTCATGGCGACTGCAGCTCTGCGCCCGCCACAAGCTCGGGGGTGACGTGGCTCATCCGCAGACGGGACGACCGCAGCGGTCACTCGGGCCTCCGACGGGAGCCGTTCGTCTCTGTGTACCCGCGTCTCCGGGGCAACCGACCGGAACCGGAACGCGGCCGTCTCGTGGCAACGACCAGTCTCGGCGTGACGTCACGGCCCCCGGGGCCCCGCACCCCTCAAGGACAGCCAGCCTCGGGGGAACTCCGCCTGCAGGGGCGCCCCGGACGTGCCAAACGCGCCCCGCCGCAGCGGGAGCCTGGCGCCGTCGAGTGTCACCAGGCTGCTTGGTACGGGCGTCCGCCGGGAGGACATGTTCTTTACAAAACGACCCCAGACCTGTGTAGATGCCGGACTGCGCGCCACTCATCTCGGCTGGGGAGCCCCATGCGTCGGGAGAACCCGGTGAAAATGCGGCGAGACAAGGAAACTGGGCAATGGAGTCGTCTTAGCATCGACGGTCAAAAGAAATCTCACACGTGACACTGTGTAATCCGATAAATACATTATAGTCCATGTGACCTGAAAGTCAAACGTTTTCCCCTTTAGTCCAGCTTTTAAATGCCTAGCATTTAGGGGTTCAGGATTCCTAGAGGGTCAGGACAACGATGTTCATACACGTAATTATTCTGTACTGAAAGCATTTAATAGCACTCCTAGAGATTCAACGAGAAAAGCAGACGAGGAAAGAATATGATAAATGTCCTGTCTTCTGTGACTTTCTCCTACCACTACTAGCTTTGCTGTTTCCTCACTTTTATGTAATTTATAAACATTTGACTTTGTCCTTTAAATTTAGACTTCATTTTGTTGCTGAATGACATTTTCAAAAGAAAGGGAGAGTCTTTACCTGGAAAGTCTTAATTCAAATGATCTAAACCAGACTCCCCTAGCTTGTAAACCTTTAACTCTTTACCCAGTCTCTTGTAACAAAAGTCAAATGCTCAGTCTAACACTGGCTTCTAGCTTCTCTGAAAACGGTATACCAAATGTTTCAATGACAGGTGTTAAGTTTAAATGTTTCTCCATCAGAAACTACAATTTCACCAGGTGTCATGTGAGTAGTTAGCCACAGCTGCTGAGTAGTGCCAAGACAGGAAACGTCTTGATATCTCTTCAGTAGAAGGGAGTGTGCAAACATATTTGGGGGGAGTCCTATAAAATAATCTTGGATATCTCACTCTGACTGGAGCTTTCTGATGAAGTCCTGATATTTTGTGGAGCCCCAAATCATTGGGGAATGGACCCGCAATCGGAGACCCAGAGCAGGTGCCCACCGGTCTTTTGCTTTGCATTTCAGAGCCAGCGACATACACAGTCTTTATACCTAGCGCTCAGGTATTAGTTTCACAATGATCTTCACATTTCCCTAAGGAAACAGTTCTTTCATAATTAAAGCTTTTGTGTGTCCACATTTCAAGATGGGGGGGCCGGGGACAGATTGAGCAAATAATTAAAATTGCAAATAAACCTTCATTGTAATTTTATTTTCAGTTCCTTTTTGCATTTTGAAAAAAAAATCCCCTTAAACTAAAAGGTTCCAAAATTGGTTTCAGTCCTTGAACAATTCAAACTCCCAAGCTACTACAGCTGCCATTTTTAGTAATTGTTTTACTATGTATTTTCTACTTTAAAAGTGTTGAGCTGAGCTTAATGGTGAAAAAAGGTCTAAATCTGTAAACATAACTCTATTTATGGAATGCTACGAAGTTTGAAAACTTAAGTTCGAATGGCATCTAAATTATTTTTAACTATAGATTCTGAGAGTTTGTCATTAACAATGTGAGTTAAATTGTATTGTTCCTGATAAAACACATATAAGATTCCCACTTTATATCTGGAATTAGACTTATCAAAGAAGCTAGATCCTTGCTCTTCACTCTAGTTTTCTTTTTTTAAAGTCTTAAAAATTAAATGGATAAATGTAACACAATGATCATAACTTACATAGAAATGAATCGTTAGTAATTCAAATATAAAATATGGCAACAGGTTACTTTTAATGACAGAAAAGTCAATCTATATTTTTCTAACCCATTTTTCAACTTCCTAACTTTAAAATACCATTGTTTTTACAAAGTTAATTGAACACCCCATGATCACAAACATACTTCTAACAGTTAAGCAGTGAGAACAAACAAAAAAACTACTCAAAGGGATATTTCAGGGTTTTCTTTTTTTTTCAGTTTTTTTAAGTGCTATTTAAGATTAAGTTCTTAAAGCACCAGCTGTCTTTAAATACAGATGTACAATGTACTTAACACATTAAACTATACATTTGATTGAGAATGAAACATGTTATCTGAACAATTTACAAAAATGTTTCCATGAAAGATTTGTTTGGAAGACTTTGGCTCTTTTGTAGAAAGCTAATCTTATGTAACTGCAAAATCATCTTTGTATTCAATTCTTCTATTTATGAAAATGAGATTTTAAAAAGTGACGGTATAAAGCCAGTTTTAAAAATCCTGTTCTGTTTCTCTTTAAAAATCTGCTTTCGGAATTGAGAAAATCCCATTATCATGAGAATATACTCTACACATGCCTGAAAGAAATTTTGTTAATTTTAACATATATGTAATTTTTCTTCAGCTCAGCTGAATTTTAAAAATTAAAGCTTAATATGTACTAGATATTAACATCCATAGTTAAAAAACTGCTGTTGAGGTGAATCAAGGTGAAATGTACATATATATTCATCAAGACAAACACATATTAAATATCAGTATGTGCCAGACACTTTGCTGATAACGGAATGTGCTTGTCTTCTAGGACAAGAAATCTAGTGGGAAATAGGCATGTAAACAAAGTATTAATTCATTCAACAAGCATATACTGCAGTCTTCCCTGTTTTAAGGGCTGTAATTGCTCTAAGCGCAGTAAATACTCTGGGAGCAAGGACAAGGGACTTGAGGTAATCTATGTAGAGGTGAGACTACCTAAAACATCACTTAAATGTAAAAAAACTTCGTTTTTAAGAAAAATTAGCTGAGTTTTATCTATGTATGAAATCTCCTTCTCTTCTCCCCCCAAAGAATTAAAACATAGTATTTAAATAAGCATTCATTTGGTGTTTGCATGTAATTGTTCGAGTTATGAGAACACAATAATCATTTTGCCAACAGCAAATCTAAAATTACTGAAATAACTCCATATTTATATACTTGAATTAAAAATAAAGGCATTACATGCCCCATAACTAAGTTAGTAGACTCAACATATTATGAAGAAAACACATATGACATCTTAAATGTTTTATAGCCCCCTTTTTAAGGAAAACGTCAGGATTTTACTTTTAGGTCTGAGATGACCATCCAGTTTGTCAGCAGGGTAGAAGACACTTGGACATTTCTGTCCAGGAGGAGAAGATAAACATTCCTATGCTTTTGTGTTGGGTTTGTGTCTTCCAATTCTTTGCTTTTCAAACCTTTTAAGTCAACTCTTACATTTTAAACTTTAAAGTTTATGTTTCTTTTAGTGTTGAGGCCAAGAAAATGTTAGCATGACAATGATTTAGCTGGCCCCAAAGTTCTGAAGATAACACCTTTACATGGCTTCCTTTTCCCCTAATTCAGTGGATGCAGAGATTGAACTCATCTTTCCCACTCCAAAAATAAACCGTCATTAAGGGGATTCCACACACGAATAATTTCACCTCCGAAGGCACCATAGAGCACAAAGTGATTGATACTAAAAATTGATGCTTTTGAAATAGAAGTCTGAAATACAGCATAACATTTTCTAAGACAATGGGACATGCATAAAAAAATTATTGCTGCTTGGGATGTGTGGGTGTGTCTGCCTCATGTGATTATCTTCTTTCTGAAGACTTACGTGGATGTTTCTTAAAAACTGTACCCAAACCCCATATCATCAGATAGAAACCTCTAAGCCCTTTGCCAAAGAAGTTGGTCACCCCCTCTCAATACCATCCAGACCTACCACCCCTTTAAAATCTTGGCGTTGTGGGACTTGCCTCGGAGAAGGTAGGTACTATTGCTTTCCCTCCTTTCTATCAGTAGACACAAGAGACAAAGATGGGAGGTGCCACAGAGGAAACTCTCGACCCCTGGAGCCCACCAAGCCCGCATCTGGGCCACCACTGGGGAGGACGAGACCCGCGCAGGCGCGGGTCCTGCCAGCCCAGAGAGAAAGATTCCTGGCTGATGACTCAAATCTGGGCACGGGAGGGTCCCCGCACGGCCTGGGCGCGGGGTTCCCGGCTCGACGGCGCTGGCCCTAGCAGACAACCGCGTTCAGTGTACATGGAGGTGCTGGGGCCCCAGCTGAAGGGAAGGATGTGGTCCTCCCCGACGTCTACCGCTTTACCCTTAGGCCGAAGGTTCCAGAACACACCAGGGAGCACCTCCGCACTCTCCACGCACTTTCTAACGGGGGAGGAGCGCAGGGAATGGTTGGGACTGGGATCAGGAGGCCGTTCGGGTTAGACCCCCACGCGGCCCCCGCCCCGAGTCGCCTGGCCGGCCCGAAGCGGGGG